GAAAAATTACAATGTGAAAAGCAGCCTATGACAAAAAGACAAAAAGACCAAAAGACGTACAAATAACAAAAATTAGTTAACAGCAAAAGTTATCCACAAACGACACCAAAATAGACCGAACGTTTTTGTTATTTGAAATGAATCCTGAAGTCAAATTAATAAATGATAAAGCGAAAAGGATTAAAAAGATGAATTCAGTAGAAAACCAAATATAAATTTTCTAAGGTTATGTTAGTTCGAATATTCTTGCAAATAGCCACAATAAGAAAGACGAGGCTTTAAAAAAATATTGATCAGTTGAGAAGTAGCCTTAGCCAGTTTTGTGACTAAACAATTTTCCGTAAAAAAATCCTAAAAGTTTCCTTCCCCGGTGTCTTTTTAACATTCATCCCCAAAGAACAAAAAAGGTTTATTCATCAACTTTATTCCCGTCCCATACAACTGACTTTTTTCAAAGGAGCTGTTGTTGTGCTGTTACAAACTTTACACTCACATTATAAAACTAGGCGAATGCAATATAAAAATAGAATGAAGTAAATGCAAAAGAAGCTTATGAATGATACTGTTACAAGTTGGAAAATTGAAAGTGAAAAAATACTTCCTCTAAAAAACTAAAAATGTTTTAAAACACCATTCCTTCCCTAATGCGTGAGTGAAAAGAAAAATTTCAATAGATAATGGCAAATACATTAAAAATTAAATTCAAATAGTGAATGATTTATAACTGTATCCAACAGCGCACCCAGTTTAAACTCACGCTTATTAATCAATGAGAGTTTTAACATAAAATATGTTTTGTTCCTCTCAAAAATGAAGTAAAAATACAAAGTTTCTCGGACAAGTTAGTTAAAAAAAAAACACAGGCACCGATAAAATAATAATTGGTCACTTACGCTTGCACTTATAGATTCTATATCCCTAAAATGTAAAACTGAAAAGCCCTCCCATCCGTGGCAATCAATTTAAAAAATTGCCTGTTTAAAAATCCACAAAACAGGTCACTTTGATTAGTAACTTTCTAAACTTCAACTGTATACTCCTAGTGAAAAAAAAGGTGAAGTATGAAAATGTTTAAAAAAATATGCTTCCAAAAAACAGTGAAGTAAGATGATAGCAGATGCTAACAATATCAATGCTTCATTTAAACAATGGGATTCTAATATGCGAAACAGTAACTGTTGAAGAGCATAAAATCTTTAGAAAAAAATAAAGATTTGCAAAAAAAAAAAATGGAAATACGAATGAGGATGTACATACATTCTTCTCTTGGGAAAACTGTTCCAATCAATAAACTCTCACTTAACATTCAGGACACAATCCATTTAGAACTTTATTCCACTTGCTTTCAAACATTCGCAAAACTTCTCCAGCTGATAATGTAAATCGAAAAATCAGATTGATCTCCCGAATTTTCAAAAAAAACGCTTCCCTTTAAAATAAAAAGCACAAAAAATACGATATAAATGTCCAAATTTTCAACATCAGCATCATTCCTTAAGTATACAGGTGCACTTCAGAATTTTCTGCTCGTAATTTTTTTCAAACAATAAAGTAAGCTCCTTAGAGGACGATCTTTGTTAGCCATACCCTTATTAAAATCATTTTTAAAGAAAGAAAAAGATGATAATTTTTTTCCCAGACAATATGAAGAACTATGATAAATTATACCTAAATAAAATAAATAAAAATTTCAAAAATTGAAAGTCTATAAATTATCCCCAAATGATTTATTCCGACAGTTAAATGACAGCTGAAGAGTAACAAAAATGACTCGTTTAAAAATTTGTAAAGTGCAAACCACTGCATTTGTATAGCCTTTCAAGTGGAAAAACATTTTACTGCCAGCAACCAATATCCTTGACAGTAACATGCTTCTTAATGACAAGTTCAAATTTAAAGGAGCAGTACAAAAGTCTTGAACTAGTGCAGTGATAAAATACAAAACAAAATTCAACAACGAACTAGAACTTGAAAAACTTTAGTGACTTAGTCCTTCTTCATTACAGACAATGAAGAAATTAGGAATCCAAACTCAATTAAGAGAAGATCATAAGATACTGGAGGAACAGATTCCGTCATACCCTTAAAACGAAAGTGCATCCCTAATATACCAAATTTCAAATATTAAAAACAATTTAATGACATTAATTTCTATTTTGAAAAAAAAAA